ATAATTTAAAAGATAAAACTGATCTACATATAACCAAAATTTTATTAAAAAGGGATTCGTGGTCGATTACGTTTGGGGAAGGATTAGCACTCCTACAACGCCCAAGATTGATACTCTTTAATTATAAATAGTCTCAATTATTGGAAATTTAAAAATTCAAAAATATATTTAATTCATAATCCTGTTATTTTAAATTTATTAATATAATTTTAAGAAAATATATTAAGATATATATATATATATATATTTATTTATTTATAAATAAGATATTTATTTACTTGGAAATATCAGAAAAGTACTTCTAGGTGCCTTAAGACAACTCTTTTCTTTGATATTAAAAAATAAATAAATAAATAAAACATTTAAAATAATAATAACAAATTTATTTTAATATAGTAAGATATTTATTTATTTAAAAATATTAGAAAAGGGCTTCTAGTTGCTTTAAGATAGCTCTTTCCTTTAATATTAAAAAATAAATAAATAACTAAAATATTTTCTTAAAATAAAATTTAAACATAAATAGTTCATAAATAGGATTTTTATTTCATAGAAAAACAAAATAAAATAAAAAAATTATTTATTATATATATATTCATATGACTAAATAATAATAATAATAATAGTAATAAAAAAATTAAACATAAAAAAATTAAACAATGAATAAATAAAATTAAAACTTATATATTTAAAAAAACAATAAAATTAACAATAAATTAACATATTATTAAAACTAGTGACTAAATTATAACATATTAAAATTAGATACCCTAATTCATAATTATTTATTTAAAATCACAGGGACTGAACATGCTATTTTATATTTATTTAATTTAGGGACTAAAATAAACTTATATCAAATTCGAATATTAAATTAAAATAAATTAAAACATGATGTCCGGGACTAAAACATTATTTAACAAAATTATAATGGCTAATTCGGTTATTTTACTTAACATATATATAATTATGTTTAGGGACTAAATTATAATAAACTAAAATTAAGAAACCGAATTAAAAGACTTAATAATAGATTTTAGTGACTAAAATAGAAGATTATAAAACTGTAGGTACTGCGGAAAGGGTTTGACCAATAGTGAAATTACACACATACCCCTCCCCAAAACGACGTCGTTTGGGAAGGGGTATTTGAACCCTTTATGGCCGGCCATAATGGCCATTTCTCATTTCTTTCTTCTTTTCTTTTCTCTCTAACTGAGAGATTATCCCCCATCTCTCTAAATACACTCATCGGGGAAGAGAGCTGGCCATTCGCCGGCCACTGTGCTCCGGTGATAATCGTCGCCGTCGGCCACCGTTCACGGTGTCCGGATTTTTCTAACCTACCCCAAAATATAGATCTCAGAGTCCTAAAACCTATTTTGAGGTTGTTTTAACCTAAAACCCCACCAAACGTAGTAAATCTACGATTACTACCTTCGATTTTTTTGTATCTCCGGGGGAGTGTGAGGACGCGTGAAAGGCTCCGATGATTATGTAGTTTCCTTGGTAAGCTTCTGTTCTCTTCTCCTTCTTTATTTGGCTACTGTTGGGTATTGTTGTTTGTTGTTCGTTTTCTGCTCTCTGTCTCTCTTGTTTGTTGCTGTTGTGGTCTCTTCTTTCCTTTGTTTTGTTGTCCTCCCTCTTTTTGTTTTGCAGGTTCGGTGGCTTTATAGCCACCATGAACCTTACCACAGACTGGATATAAGAATGGTCCTTGGTGAGTCACTGAACCTCTAGTGGTGACTCACAGTAGGGTCTTGACGTGGATGGGGCAGCTGGCTCTCTGGAAAGCTCGGTGAAGGCTTGGCGTGGCAGCAGTTGTTTGGACCACCTGGCATCAGAGGCGTCGGCGCTGGATGATCTGGAATCAACGGCGGCGGCCGCGTGGAGGAAGAATCATTAGCAGCTGGGGCTAGGGTTAGAAAACCCTAGCTGAAATGTTACAAACCCTAAAGGGTTTGGGTTATATGTTGGGCCATAACTGGGCTCCGGTGTAAATGGGTCGGGTCTGTATTCAGGCTTCGATTTTGGTCCTTGTATTTTGGATCTGAAATAATAAAATTTATTTAATAATAATAATAAAATTATTATAGTAATAATAAAATATAATAAATAAAATAAATAATAAATAATGAGTAATGAACAAAAAATTTAATGTCTACATAAAGGATGTATCAAAATAATACACAAATAATAAAAGTTAGTTATTTACATGAAAGATTTACGAATCACTGACATAAGTTTAGATGATTATAGATTTTTTTTTGTTTAATATTTAGTTTAAGCATTTAATTAATGATATAATTATGAAATTTGAATTTGGAACTCAACCTTATTACTAAATCAGGTAATGTTTTATGCAAAAACAAAACAGAAGTTGAGGAATCATTATTGGACCATAAAAAAAAGTATGATATTTTTTTCAATAAACTGAAGGTGATTATAAATTAGTATTTGTTCTAAGTATTCTTAATCATTTGATAATGAACATTTAATCATCATTGCAGTCGTTGGTGTTCATACAAATGACCTATAAAATTCTATAAAGTGGCATTTGGTTCGCTGGAATTAGTTGGAATTAGAATCCAATTCCACCACTTTCTCATGTTTGGTTCAAGTTTTCAAAGGGGGAATTGGAATCCAATTCCATCAAGGGATGGAAAGTAAATTTCATCCATAACATGATGGAATTGAAATTCTTTGGAGGAGGGAATGTGAAATTTGACCATACTAGCCTCATCAATCTCTAGGTATTCGGGTCGGATTTTTTTAAAAATTTACGGGTTTGGGTAGGGTCGGGTTTTTGTGAGTGCAATATTCGGCTCGGGTTCGGGTCAGGTCGGATTTTTTCAAAAAAATTTGGGATATGGTCGGGGTTTTTTAAAAATTTTGGGTTCGGGTCGGGTTTTTTAAGTGTGATATTCGGGTCGGGTTCGGGTTTAGGGTGAAAAATACCCGACCCGACCCGAAAAAATATATAATTTTATCTTATATATTTAGGAATAATTACAATAATACCCCTCTATATATAATTTTTTTCAATTAAGTCATTGTTTTTATTGAATAAAAATAATATTTTTATTATTTCGGGTCGGGTTTCTAATTCATATATTCGGGTCGGGTGAAACTTTATTTTGGTCGGGTCTCGGGTGGAGGTTCCATTGTTCTCGGGTTGGGTCGGGTGGACCAAAAACTCAACCCAACCCGACCCATGGTCATCCCCAATTGGGATGATTTTAACTTATGATGTTTATTAGTATGATTGTTATAATTTATTGAAATGAATAATCAATCAATAAAATGAAAATATAATATTTTTAAAATTTTTATAATATATTTCTACATGTAAGTTATAAAACAAACTAAAATTAAAAAAAAAACAAAAAGGGCAATTTTGTCATTTTATATTACTGAAATCAAATTCATCTGACATGTCTGTGAACCAAACAGAATATGGAATTGGATTTCAATTCATTTTCCTGCCAACCAAACAGGTTTCAGATTCAAATTCCAATTTCTACAGATTCTAATTCCTTCACATATTTTAATTCCATCATAAACATTCAAGCAAATCAAACGCCACCTAAGTGAATTTTGATTTGATATAATTATATACATAAATTTTAATTATAATTCAAATGTTTACATAAAATCTGTAACACCTCAAAGTCGACGTGATCAATCTGAAGTATATAAGATGTCACATTGAGTCAATTAACTCAATTAGCTCAATTAGACTAATAATTTCACAATAATTGTTTCATCCATAAATTTAAAACCATTTTCATAAATTAGACTAACTCAATTAACTACATAAGAGAAAACTACTTCAAATATCATCAGACTTTGAGCGTTGACTCGTTTATACCATTAAACTTTCAATTGTATCAATTTTAACACTAATGTTTAAAATAAATTATTTATGAATTGAACATTTATATTTTTTTCATGTCAATTTTTTTATATTAAATTATTTTGAAATTCATATATTTTCACCGAATATGCATAATTATTAAAAGACTATTTTTTATTAACAAAAATATTTTTATATAGTATCAGAATATATTTGATATATTATAATATTAAAAAATTTAAAAATATATATATATATATTTCTTACTTACAGCATCATATTTAAAATGGTCATTTGTGTTTTCAATGACACTTTTTGACATCAATACTAAACACTACCAAATAATCTAAAAATACTTTTCAAAAACCCTTTTTTTAAAGTACTTTTTAATCACACTTATCAAAATCAATGCTAACCTAGTAGTCACAAGAACCAACCTTTAGCCTTTCAGACAATTACAACAATAGACAAATATAGATATCAACATCTACTATTGTTAGAACAAAAAAAGAAGACACTTAAAAGATGATTCAGACGCCTTTGTCACCTTCACTCTCTTCAACTTTTAAATAGATTCAAATTTAATGTTGCTCTAATGAAAGGAAATACAAATTAGGCTTTATATAACTCATTAGAAAACACATTTCCCCTTTTTTTCGTTGGATTTGTAGCTGATAATACTAAGTATCAAATTAGTGCTTTGATTGTGGGGGAAAGCCTCAGTTTTCGTACACTTTTTTGGTCATTTTATTGCCAATTGCAAGCTTGGCAGCTCAATTGCAATTGAGAATCACTTGCAGTTTGCATGGCGAGATAATCCCATCAAAACTCTCGTAACTATCATACTCCTAATGGAACAACATTATTAAGACCAACTGTTTCATATTTGTCTATTCTGCTGTCTTAAGGAACGACAAAATATTAAAGAAGCTTCCGAGGGGACAGTGTCTGCTGCTCATGAAATGCCATCTCCAAGTCCTTACGATGGAGACTGTCTCAAACTCCCTCGTCAATGTTCCTACTAATGAGATGTTTACATTATGCAAATGAATTTGATTGGAGCGTGCCCATGTAGCTATTCAGCCTTTTATTTATACCTACGTAACTAGGACTCATCGTCGAGTGGTAGTTCTCATTATTTTCTCACTCTTTGCTCTTATTTGTACAATGGAAGCTGGAGTCCCCATGCTTAACTGTCTCATGCAGCACACCTTACGGAGCTTGTGTTCAAGTTCAGTTCAGATTCTTCCACTTCTTCAAAGTGGGTTTATGCTGTGTTTTGAAGGAAAGTGCCTCGAAATTATCCACCACCAAAGTAAGAACAAAGATAAAACAAAATTAGTAAATGTTAAGGCCAACAAGCTTGAATGAATTTGTCTGATGTTATGTCCACTTAATGCATGTAAAACAAATTGTTCTCTTGCAGGTGGGATTACGGAGGGAGTGCTCTTGATCGTTCCAAAGGAAACAAAAGGAATTGGTATTTAGAGTTAAAAGTTTCCTTTTTGTATATGTGGCAGAACCAAGTTTCAATTTTCTTTAATTTGCAGGCTCTTAATAATGACTCTTTGTGTTTTAGGATTCTTGTTTGGTAAGATGGTTTATGTGACATCCTTGAATGTGAGAGTGGTGGAAGTGGCTTTGTTGAAGGGAGGTTTGGAGCTCATATTTTCATCAAATTGTCTCATGGAGTCTATAACTATGGAGAAGGGTGATAATTTCTTTAATTATAGTTAAATTTCCTAACAACAGCTGAATGGTGAAGTTAATGGTACTTTGATTACAGATTAATAGGCAAAATTGCAGCAGATAACAGACACAAGTGGGTGTATAAAGAAACCCCAAATGACAATGATCCTGTACTTCATTTCCTCCTGGAATGTCTATTGAACCTGTAAGATTAACCGTTTAACTGTCCTCAACAGTATTCATTCACCATAGCAATGTGTAACCTTTCCTGTAAGTTAAAAGCCTGATTTTTCAGTTTTTTATCCTATAAGCAGCAACCAAAGGCTTGAGAGGTTCAGTTCAATTCAGGCATTCAGGTTTATGTATATATATGTAGGGAAAGTGTTTGCATGTTACAGAGAATTCTAATTGTAGCTGCTGCATTAACCTATTAAAAATGCTGATTACAGTTTCTCATGGTTCTTAACAGACAATTGCCATTGTTTCTGTCAGGGAAGGTATCATTCAACTCGGTTCATTTGACAAGGTCTCTCTCTTACTATTTTTTCTCTTTTTTTTCAGCATTTTAAAGAAAATTTCTTTTGGCATTAAGTGAGTAATGAATAATGGAATTTTCAGACTGTGGAAGATCTCGATCTGGTGATCAGAGCATACAGAGGAAATTCAGCTACCTCCAGACCATACCAGGTGTCTTTTCCATTCAAAGACCATTCATTCCAATTCAACATCCATACGACCTTAGGACGTAACCAGATACTTGAAAACCATGAAACAGCATTCTGTCTCGATGAGAAGCGCCAGTTAATTGGAACAAAGAGATTGGTCATCGAAAGCTGGAAGACTCTCCAATGAAATCCATCGACTTAGGTTCGAACAGCACAAAATGGCATTATAGGATCATCCTTTTGGTTAATTCCTCCCTTTTTTCCTGTCATCCCATCGTATAATTCTATCGAAGCTCCTAACATAACTGCCTCCGATCGACAATACCAATAATGGAAGCCAGAGATTGAAGCCTAACAGGGGAGTTTCATTAGGTGAAGATCAATTTTCTGAGACAAAAGTAGAAACTTCTAGTAAAGTAGAAGATGCTCAAGAGGAGAAGCCAAGCACTGTAAAAGCTAATTTCCAGCAACAAGATGATGCAGTAGTACAACTAGGACTGGGACCTCTTTGAGACTTATGAGCAAGTATTATGAAGCTTAGCTTCTTAGGATAATCAGCTGTATTTATTAACAAAGATATGATTTGCATTTTTAGTTCAGTCAGTCTTTTTTTACCCTTTTGTTGTGTCCGTCTATAAAATATTACACTTATTCACTGAAGTGTAATTTGCTAGCTAGTTGTATTGAGGAAATAACTTATCAACCAACAAATACATGCCTTATACCAGGAAAGCTTTGTAGCTGTCAAAAGCTGTGGATTATAACATCAATAATGTGCAGTTGCAGGGTGATAAGCTAATGATAACGATATCTATCCTATGCAAAATAAGACCATATTTCATATTTCTATAATTAAAAATATGATGCGGATGGTGGTGACTGATATGAAATGACTTAAACAGAACAAAATTGTGCTTTTAGACTTAAAAATGCAAGCTTATAACTTGATGCATATAATTGTCAAGCTATACATATGATTCTAGTTCTTTTTGTGCTCCCATAATCAAGACGGACAGATATTATGGGTAATGCCAATACCAGAGGCAATCAATAAAGGCAAGGGTGGGGTTCGGATTCAATGGTCTATACTTGTCGTTTCCGGAAATGGTACCCTAGAAAACCCAAATGAAGATTACGAATGGCAATGGATGATTGAGTAGGGAAAGTGAGATTGAGTTATTATTTGCAACATTTTGAATCTGGTCCATCCTTCTCGGCACAATGAATGATTATCCCCTAAGTTTCAATATTTTGGGTCCCAACTATATAGATCTAAGAAAATGAGGTATGATTTTATGTTGTGAGACATGGCATTTAGGCAAAGGGTCCCTTTTGTTAGCAGGCAAGATATTAGCATTAGTATAAAACTATTCCATTGTCCAGAAAACTCTAGGCAATTGCCTCGGGTACTTTCAGCTTGCAATTTGAAAGCAGCCCTAACTAACTGTGACACCATTCACCTTTGAAGTTTCTAACCATGGTACCAGGATGTTTCATTTTCTTATAGTATTGGTTTCTGAGATGCATTCAAAATGTATTCAGAAACAAATAGTAAAGGTAGAGATATTCCAAATATATATCCACATCTGATCCGACTCAATACAACTCAAGGTATCATTGGTAGGATGTGATGAGTGAGATGTTCTTTGACTCGGATACGTTTTTAGTTAGTTAATGTTAAGAAATGTCTTGCCTGTGACTATATTGCAGTGAAGGAAATATGCCTACTGGATTTGAGGTTACTTGCATGCCACTCATAGCAATCAGATGTAAGGCTAACAAATTTGAAACAAGGCACTTGCATTCCACATACTAAAACTAAGGCCTTAGGCAATAGTTGCATGTTGATCTTGAGTTCTTAAGCTAAAATTTTACTGCCTAAATTGTGAAGACTTGTTAATAAATAGGCGACATCAATCATATATTAAGCAACTAGTCACTGCAAAGAGTATTAATTCTACACGGATCCAAATGCCCCTGGAAAGAGATTTCAAATGCAGTTATGCCTACAACTATTTTAGTCATGCCAAACTAGTCAAATAGGCAGAAACTTTGGTTATTCATATTAAGCAGCTAAAAAGACGGATAGGGTTGACAGATAATCAATTCTTGAAAGCCATTGCTAAATGATGAAATGATATTCAGAGGACCAATAGAAATTAGCAGCATTCTGATTGTTCCCAAATACAACATGGATAAAACAATGTAAGCTAGATACATAATTGGCATCTGAGTAATGTCTATAGGCCATCCAGTTGTTGGTATGAAAATGAAAGTAAGTTGGCAATATGTTAAAACGGAGAACTTCAAGTAATGTCAAGCTTCGTTCATCCTCCCTTTAGAATCCATGTTGGTCTTCTATTTAAGAAATGTTCATTTCCATTGCAATTCCATGTCCCCAGAAAGGTTTAGCAGGGGTGCGCTTCAGTGCCCTCACTGCAAAAGGATTGCCCTTGCTCTGCAAAACAAATTCAAAGCAAGCAACCGCAACGTCAATAGCATATCTATCACTAGAAACGTAAAGGTAGATTAGTTTGAACGACACATGATCCAGAACACGCAAACAATAACGATTTCAGGGAAACAGAACCAAATATGTCAATAGCATAATCTAGAATATAACAATGTTCATACCATCAAGCAGGTGCCTCCCCTTATGTCACAGACAGGGTAGTCATGAGGGCAGCAGCTGCTGTTGTCTTCACAGCAAGTGGCAGCCTCAAGTGGGCAGCATCCCCAAGCAAAGCAGTAGCCATAGTACTCATATAGACAACAGCAGGTATTGCTCTCAGGACAGGAGTAATAATTATCGCAAACTGTAGGAGGCTTTACAGGAGATGGAGGAGAGGGTCCAGGATTGGGGGGATTTGGACCCGTTTTGATAGGATAAGAGGCTTCCATTGCGATTCCACATTTGCCAGTTACAGAATTGGCCACATTTCTTGCCATCTTGATATAACCTCCCTCACCCCAATTTTCACCCCATGAGTTCTTCACAATCCAGTAGTCTTTACCATTCTCAGTGCCATATCCAACAACAGTCACACCATGGTCCAATTGTGTGCCACATATTCCATCAAACACACCCTAAATAGAACAGTGGACAAAACATTATTCTAACTCCAATTTTAAGAAAACATTGCTGCTTCATTGTGTAATATGAAATTTATTAGATGGTTTCCAGACTTGATATCCTAGCCAAGAGTCATTATAATTTATAATCGAAGCATAGAGTACGTGGGGAACAAATTTTGCTTCAAAATTTGAATAAAAATTCTGTTGAATTCTGAACAGCTAGGCTCTTATACCAATATAAAAAGCTTATAACTAAAGAGCAGACAATTTAGCAACAAAGTGCAACATCAACTCCACATAAACTTATATTCCATAAAGCATAGTCATATGCTATATGAGTAACATCATTAATCACAACTTATGGTCTTACAAAAACTATTAATTTTAATGGATGCGGAATCTTACCGATTGATATAACTGGAAGGCCCTGCCTCCTGCTTCAATGGCAACACTAATTGGTTGATTTGAGGCTGCCTTTTTCAATGCTACCTCGTCATTTGCTGGCACATCTTCATAAGAATCAATTGAAACAACCTTTGCATTTTTCTATAGATCATAAAACACCAAAGTTAGCAAGGAAAGTTAATTATATTCTATTATCATGTCTTTGTCCCCTTTTGCAATTGAAATCAAATACAAACCCTAGAGGGGTCACATCTTCCATCACGAGCTGTATAAGGGTAATCTTCTTCTGTGTCAATGCCACCATTATTGATGATGAACTCAAAGGCATAATCCATGAGCCCTCCATTACACCCTTCATTGTAGCCTCTATCACAATCCACCAATTCCTGCTCTGAGAGCGAGATGAGATCCGCTGTAACTATTTGGTTTATCCCTTCCACTGCAGCAATTGTTGAAAAGGCCCAACAACTCCCTATATTCAACATTGAACAGTCAGTAAAAACCATCTTATAAAACACAAATCCACAAAAGCAAAGTTTCCTTCAAACCAGGACACAGTCCAAGATCCTTCCCTGAAGTCTCGAAAATGGATTTTTTTTTCAGTGAAGATCTAAGTTAATATAAAGATAATCGATTCACTTTCAGGCCTTTTTCAACTCTCACTATGGAAATAAAATTAACAGAATTAAAAAAAAAGTCCATGAAAAAGGCTTGCTGAGAAAAGCGTGGAGTCAAGTAAATTTAATATCAGAAGACAATAATATACAATAGAACTTACCGCAAGATCCCTGATCTTTGACCGGAGCCACAGCACCTTTTTTCCTCCAGTCAACGGAATCCGGCAACGCCTCACCGACGCGGGAAGCGTAACGATAACTCCTCTTGGAAACTTTTCTGTTGGGTTTCTTAACCCCCAAGTACGTGGAGCGGTACTCCTCGTTGGTCAGATCAGCGAACCGATTCAACCCGAGCTTAAAGCTGTGGCTCTCGTCCGAGTTATGTTCATCAATGAACCTGAGATTGTCCTTAAAAATCCAGAACCTCTTCTCCTTCTCTCCCAAACCGTTGTACGCTTTTCCATGATGTACAAGCCACTCCTCGTACATGGTCATAACCTCGTCGTCAGTTCTCCAACTAGACTTTGACCGATCGGGATGGGCGTCATCGTAGGATACGATGGACATGTCAAGAGCTGATGACAAAATGAACATCATCAGCAAGAGAATCGCCGTAGTTGATAGCAGTGAACCCATGTTTGAAAAGAGAAAAGGATTTTGAATGTGTAGGGTAGCAGAAAGTGCAGCGATGAATGGGTTTATAAAGAGAAAAAAAATGCTTTCTTTTAAGTTGTAATGGTAATTTAATTCCAATAAAATTCTTCTTTTAAGTTGTAATGGTAATTTAATTCCAATAAGGTCAATAATTGTGGATCAGTGGATGAGGTGTGGCGTGATACGATTGGCTTGGGGAAAGGAAGTTGAGACAGCAGCCCGTGATAATAGGAGCAGCTTTTTTTTACCCTAGTTAAAATATATGTGTTTTTTTAAAAAATATATATAAAAAATTATGATTAAAAAGTTATAAAATGATTTTTTAATTATAAATTATTTTTTATTTTTTTATTATTAAAATTTATAAAATAAATTTTTAAATTATTCATATGTTTTAAATTAATTTTTTTATTAAAAATTTAATGATAATTTGAGTTAGATATTAATCTATTAACTAAGATCTTATAAAATATTATCTTATAATCTCAAGCGACTATCATATCTTAGTTAGTATGTTAATGTCTAAATCAGACAATCGTCAGTTTTTTAACGAAAAGAATGAATCTAAAACATATAAATAATTAGATGATCATTTTATAACTTTTAATAGTCGATGACTTAATAAAGAAACATCATATAATTAAAGAATCATTTTATAACTTTTAATAATCATAATTTAATAAAATATAATATTATAATCGGAAAATTATTTGCGTAAATTTCTTTTTTTTCCTTTGGGGTTGGGGGGGGGGGGTAAATGATAAAAGTGGCTTCAGGTTGAAGGGCGAGGAAGTGAATTAGGATGGGCCACGTAATTTTGAACTTTTGAAGACTCTGGAAATCAGCATCACAGTGTTGGTGGAGCAATTACTTTCAATAATTTCGCTTTCATTATATTCCACGTCATATATTTAACCATTTGTTTGATATGCCTTTTTTCCCCTTGATTGACAAGTATATTCTCTTTGCTAAGTTTTATAATAATCATACCATTGAAAAATAATCATAGATTTCATTAATTTATTTGTAGATATTAATGAAATATGTGGATATTTAATTTTTTAGTATATTTTTTATTAGATTATGTATAATATTAATAAGAAGGTTATTTGAATATAAATACCTATAAAAATAAACAAATTAACACCACCGCAATTTTATTTATTCAAATTTCGTTCATTTATATCCCTATTTACATCCCTACTTATCGTTAATCAACTATTATTCCTAATCAATAATTAAGAATATCAAATACAAGTGTATTGGAGATGCGTATTCTTTATGAACAATGATTAAACCATTTTCTAGTACAAATTCCATGAACACGTGGTAATCTTTTACTGGCTCGAAATATAACTGTTCAAAAGTATGATTAGAGATGTATTATTAAAAGAAACATTGACTTGTGATTCCTTGATATTTAGTTTAGCATGCATTACTTGACTTAGCTGCTGACATCTTCATTGAGGAAAAAAAGTAGTTCTATCCAGAATAAACTACTAAATTTATACTTTAGTTTTATTTTATTATTGATTTTAGAAAATATTTAGATTATATATATATATATATATATATATATATATACAGGCACGTATTTGAGCATGGGCAATAGGAACATTTGCCAAGAGCCACCTCTTGCTCGGGACATAAAATTGTAAAATTCATATATAATTAAAAAAATAAATTATTTATTTAGTCACCCATCTATTATTTTATTTTTATTTTGATTATTCAATTATTATTTTTTAAAATTATAGTTAACGTTATATTTTAATTTTGTTAGTTATCCATCATTAAAAAAATCAAGAACGATATTGATATGATATTTTTAAATTATTTTTTTCTTTTCATTAAAATTATATATATATATATATATTTGCTATTAGGGGTGCACCTTGAGCAACTGTTCATGCCTATCATTTTGTATGGGTCTCCTAAATTTTTTTATAATATTATTTATTTTATAATTTAACCCTTAAATTTTCTTTAATTTTAGTTTTTTATCCTTATAATTGAGGTCTCTAATTTTTGTAATCCTACTTTTTCAAAGTATACTATATTAATTATTCAAAGTATTATAATATTCTTTCATTTTATAAGGGTCTATCTTTTAGTTTCGCTTAGGGTCCCGAAAATGTATGAGATAACTATGTATTTATTAGATAGTTTATTAAACATACTAAATAATAATTTACAAATAAATTTATTTATTTTTTCTTGCTCTTACAATTTAATTTTTCGATACTTATTATTGGAGACCTAATTTTTACATTTGCCCCAGGCAACTAAAATCTCAGAAACAAACCTAAATTATGAAAGTATATTCTAATAATTTGAATAATTATTTTAATATTACGTTAATAAATCGTTTAAAATGATTAAATTAGGGGATTAAACTATAAAAGTAAAAATTATGATTGAAAAAATTAAGGACCCCAATTATAAAGGTAAAAACTGATATTAAAAAAATATGGACAATAATTTTAAAGGTAAAAAGTGAGATTAAAAAAAATTAGGGGCCTAAATTATATGATAAAAAATGGGATTGAAAAAATCAGAGACCTTAATTATAAAGGTAAAAAGTGATATTGAAAAAAAACAGAAACTTAATTATAAAGGTACAAGGCGGGATTTAAAAACTTAGGATCATCAATTATAAATGTAAAAAAAAATGGGACTGAAAAAAAATAAGGGCCTCCATTATAAAGATAAAAAAATAGGATTAAAAAATTAAGAACCTCAATTATAAGGATAAAAAACTAAAATTAAAAAAAATTAAAGAGTTAAATTATAAAATAAACAATATTATAAAAAATTAGGAGCTCCATACAAAATGAGGGGCATGAATAGTTGCTCAAGGTACACCTTTAATAGCAAAAAAAATAAGAAATATAATTTTAATGAAAAGCGAGAAATAATTTAAAAATATCATATCAATATCATGTTGGATATATGAACTGCAAAACTACACCGTTAGCACTGACTGGAAATATAAACAGTAATTGAAAGGAACAAATTCGTAAACTGTGTTGTGGTAAAAACCACTGCCTTAGAAACGAATCCTCCCCTATGTGTGTAATCGCTGCAGTAGGCAGACCGTCCCCCGAGGTTAATACGGTCGCTACGAATTCCGTACACCCGAAACCGAAGTGGATTGCTGGTGGTATTACTCTTCTGATAGGAAAACACTCAGAGAGAACTGTAGAAAACACTTTTGTAAGTGAATTGTGAATGTTTAAGAGTGAGTTGAGAAGCTTAATATAGCTCTCTATTTATAGGCTAGAAATAGGGTTAATATCGTCCATAAAATTTTAGGTACCACGACCACGACCACGACCGAGCCGAGCGAGCGAGACGAGACGAGACGAGACGAGACGATACGATACGATACGATACGATACGATACGATACGATACGAGACGATACGGCGACGGCGGCGGTGCGCGAGAGTCCTCCTTGTTCTCTATTACCCAACAAGGGAGTGAGAAAGCCAAGCCTTAAATACCATTCTCAATAGTGTTTTCAATACTATGTGGGATTGAGCATTACCAACATATCGTTATTGAATTTTAATGATGGATAACCAACAAAATTTAAATGTAACGTTAAATATAATTTTAAAATAATAATAATTGAATAACCAAAATAAAAATATAATAATATATTAATGACTAAAAAAATAATTTATTATTTTTCAATTATATATAAATATAAAAATTTAAGGTACCGGGCGAGAGGGGATGGGCAAGGGACCCTCTTGCCGATACTCAAATAGGGGCCTGTCCATAACAGCTTTCTTTCGTCACGTTGGGGCTTGCGTAAACTGTGGTAAAGAATACCCAACGCTTCGATTTAACATCCTTTATGCGACTATGTATGAATTGATTTGATACTTGAAGGATTTCGACTTCCGTCTCCTCCTTCCAGCAAACCCATATATCGCCGCTGAAACCCTGCGCTTTGACTCTAAATAAGTTTTCGAACTCAAGCTTCTTTATGGTTTTGTCTGCCTGGTTGCCACTTGTTCTAGTTTCAAGTATTGCGATTACTTGTGGTTTGTGAGTGTGAACAAAAGCTTTGAGAATTCTTCTAAATGAGGGTTTTGCAGCCCCCTTGCAGTTCTATATCATCATATTCATCATTAAAATGTTCAAGTTGTTGGTCGCTTACTGCGGAGCTTGGAAATAAGCTTCCTCTTGGACAACTACGTCCACTAGGGTCCCTGGTTCATTATTCTTTAAGGTTCTATGTTCCTCTAATAAATCCTCCTCAATCTTGTCAAGTTCACTTGAACCTTGGACGTTGACAGGATGGGTAGACTGTACGAGACTATCAATGTGTTGGGAAACTGAATCCACCCAATTGGAGACCTTTTGTTTACTTGTAGGCTTGGCTTCATGTTGTTTTTTAACCCTAACATTTTTCTTATTAGAGCGTATTGGACCTCATGTTCCTATTTTGTTCTTGCCAAGTGGTTCCTTGATTTGGTTCCTGTCTTCTTCAAGGATGGATACTGCAGCATGGTTCCCTTCCGTTAATCTTGTATTGTGGGTAACCACTTCCATTTCTTGTCCTTCAATTCAACGATTTGTATCACCTCAACGTCTTTGTTTTGTTTTACTGATTTTTCTTGTTCTTGGTCTATTCTGAGGGGCTTTGCATGCAATTGCTTTCTGACTTCCTTCGCCTTGTTCCCTGCTGATGTTCGAGATGTTGTCGCTTGTTGGCTATTCACCTTATCAGTTTCTTCCCTTGTGTCGTGTTCCTTAGTTGGGTATTGATTTTTCCCCAGTTCCAATTTCTATCGATTCTTGTTGAAGTAATTGAAATCTTGAGCCTGTGTTGGTGTCTTTTTCTCGTTTTTTCCTTCAACGGGTTTCCCTTCCATGATCCGTATGGTTCATGTTTCTCCATTGTCGCCATGGTTACAGTTGTTGTTTCGGTTTAGGTACTTCCTTTTGTCTAGTGGTTTTTGCAAACTCCTGAATTACTCCACATTGTTTCTTGTTTTGTCTGTGTACACAACATTGGAAGCATC